CGAGGCTTGTATCGCTTTAGAGCAGTGACGTCAGATGACGTCCGAAGCCTCGCTTGGCCAGACTGGTTCAGGAAGAGGTCCGAATCTTGTAAATTCACAGTCCTCTGCCCTGTTAAACTCAGCCACTTTCCAATTTTAGACTAATAATATTGGCCCTCCTGCCTATTATGAGCAAAGACTTGATTTACACACATTTGATAGCCCCATTCATTTCAAACCAATACGTTTATTACACAGTTATGTTATATTAAGTTTTACAATCATTATAAAATACACATTATATTCATATAAATACAATCTTTGTTTGTGTTCTACTGAAGAAACAAAGTCACCTACATCTTGGATGCCCTGGGGGTAAGCAGATAAACATCAAATTTTCATTTTTGGGTGAACTATCCCTTTAGGTAGATTAACCCAAAAATGAAAATTGTCATCATTTACTCAACATCACGTCATTCCAAACCTGTATGAATTTCTTCTGTGAAACATAATTTGAGAATTTCAAGAAATGTTTGTCCATGCAGTAGAAATCAAGGTTAACCAAAAGGGTTTGGTAACATTCTACAAAATCTTGTGTTCAGCAGAAGAAAGTCGTTTGGAACGACATGAGGGTGAGGAAATTATGACAGAATTTATTAGCAGTAACTTTCCAGCAGTCTAGCTCAAAATCAATGCTTTACTGTCAAGTGCTTTTCTATGTGGCAAAAATGCATTATTAAGTTTGTTGCATTTGTCGTGAATTAAGTAATATCTATCAGTGCTATAAGTTTGATTGCATCATAATAATTGCTGTTAATAGTGTTCATCGTCTGTTTGATTACGTCTTTAATTGATTTTTCCGTACATTTCTGCCATATGTACATTAATTGACAGTCACCACTGATAAGCTACCATTAAATATTGTAGAAACTTAATTTGCTGTAAAGTTGCTTTGCAACGATTTGTATCATGAAAAGCGCTATACAAATAAACTTGAATTGAATTGAATTTTCACTATACTTTGGATATTAATATCCATTGTAGAATTTGTTATACGGCTCATTCAATGAATCGCTGGCCGACTCAGTGATCAGCCGTAAAACCGTGATTCTGTCCAAATTCCCTATAAAATCTTAAATGATTCCCTTTGAGCTAAATTGACCTGTTTCCCTTACATGTGAATAATCCCGCCCACTCTAAAGCGGTACTAAACTGCAGTGGAAAGTGCATACAGTGCATTCAGAAAGTATTCAGATCCCCTTCACTTTTCTTCAATTTTGTTATGTTGCAGCCTGATACTACAATTGTTTAAATTCTTTTTTTTTCATTAATCTACACTCCTCGTGCCTCATAATGACAAAGTGAAAACAGAATTTTAGAAATGTCTGTAAATTTATTAAAAAGAAAAAAACTGAAATATCACATTTACTTAAGTATTCAGACCCTTTGCAACAACACTTGAAATTTAGCTCAGGTGCCTCCCATTTCTCTTGATCATTGCTGAGATATTTCTACACCTTGATTGGAGTCCACCTGTGGTAAATTAAATTGATTGGACATGATTTGGAATGGCAATGTCCTAGAATGGCCCAGCCAGTGCCCTGGCTTGAACCCTAACGAGCATCTCTGGAGAGACCTGAAAATGGCTGTCCACCGTGGGTCCCCATCCAACCTGATCGAGCTTGAAAGAATTTGCAAAGAAGAATGGCAGAAAATCTCCCAATCCAGGTGTGGCAAGCTTGTTGCATCACCCAAAAAGACTCGAGTCTATTTGGTAACTGCTGCCAAAGGTGCTTCAACTAAGTACTGAGTACTTATGTAAATGTGATATTTCAGTTTTTTTCTTTTTAATAAATTTACAGACATTTCTAAAATTCTGTTTTCCCTTTGTCATTATGAGGTACAGAGTGTAGATTAATGAGAAAAAAATTAATTTAAACAATTGTAGTATCAGGCTGCAACATAAAAAAAAGTGAAGGGGGTCTGAATACTTTCTGAATGCACTGTAAAACTGGCAAAAAGGACTAAAGGCACCATACAAGAGTCTTTAAATTTTAACAATGTGATGAAGTAGTGCTGAAAAAACATTTTGTCTACTTCAAACTGCTTTCCTTTGGTAAGTATTATGGAAATTTATAAAAGATCTCTTTAGAGCGGAATGAAATGTTCAAAAATAAAATAGCCTGCTTTCAACTGTCTTTTGTATATTTAATGGCCATTAAACGATTCACAGGGCCTTTGAAGCTTTATCCCATGAGCCCTGGCCTTTCAACATGAAAGCCAGCCAACAAGAAACAGCCAGCGAGACCACTGCTTGACCCTCTGACCAGCACCATCAAAACTGAGACCTTCAGCTGAGCCTCACATTAAAACACATCCCTGTGGTTATAGGACGACTCGTTCTGGGACAATAATCATAACAAAAAAAAACACAAACACAGAACTGGGGCCGTATGTATAAAACTTCTCAGAAATGCTCTTAAGAATAGTCTTAAGCTTTGACTTAAGTGTCAAAAAATTCTTAGTAAAAAGTAGGACTTTTCTAAGAGTAGGAGACTTTTATAAAGAAGCTAAAAGCAGCTTTCAGTAAAGTCTAACACTGATTCTTAAGTGTTGACTGAGGTGACACTTAAGTGTTGTGAACTAAGGACTACAATGATGTCAACACAAAATGGCTGACCTCAACCTCTGAATCAGCCAATAGTGAGCCTGCTCATGTAAAGTCACAGCAGCACAACACCAATCATTTAATGTAACTACAATAAAATAATTTAATTAAGACACTGAAATATTTTAATATTTAAATGTATTTTTTTTAATGCTTTGCATTGTGCA